TTGTGCATGCTTTCGAATATTTTGTGTCGCAACGTTTTCGGGATAAATGGTCGCGGTCGGCCTGTTGATGTATCGCAAATTACTTTCGTGTTACCAAACTGCACCTCTTGGAGTACTAATGATGTTGAACCACCGGATCTGAGTTTATTTAGCTCGATGTCTCTCTCCTGCAACTTTGCTAGACCGTTATAATCAATTCCACTCGCCATAAGTGTGCTTATCGTTGCTCGTGACAATGCGTCGGCCACATCGTTTTCTTGTCCTTTAACGTACTGTATGTCGGACGTGAACTGTGAAATGAACTCTAGTTGTCGGCTCTCTCTCGTGGAATAATTGTCTTGCTTTGCGCTTAATGCTTTCGTTGGTGGTTTGTGGTCTGTATAGACGGTAAAACTTATGCCTTCGACCACATGACGGAAGTGTTTTATTGCTAAGTAGATTGCTAATAATTCTCTTCCAAACGTACTATGTCTCGTTTGGGTAGGATTTAATCTTTTCGAGAAAAATGAAAGTGGTTCCCATGCACCGTTTACTAACTGCTGCAAAACGGCTCCTACTGCTAAGTTCGATGCGTCTGTCATGACGGCTAATGGTGCTTCGTTCTTTCGTCGTACCAACATCATCTTCTCGTTTAGCGCTCGCTTAGCGTTCTCAAAAGCCTGTATAGCATCCGCTGAAAGACGGAATGTTCGAGTATGTCCTCGCAAGGCGTCCGTCAATGGCTGTAATATTGCTGCGCAGTTTGGGATAAATCGTCTATAATAGTTTATTAGCCCCAAGAATCTTCGTAATTTTCTTTGTGAATCGGGCAACGGATAATTACGAATAGCAGCAACTTCTGTCGGAACTGGCATGATACCATGTGAATTTATCATATGACCTAGGAATTGCAATGATTCCTTTCCAAATTCACACTTTTCCACGTTAATAGTGACGCCATGTTCTCGAAGTCTCGTAAACAACTGTCGTAGATGTTGTAGATGTTCTTCCCTGGTAGAGCTAGCTACTAGTATATCATCGATATATGCGTGAACTCCTGTCAAACCCCTGACGACCTGATCGATGAATCTTTGGAAGGTTTGGGCTGCATTAGTTAATCCGAAAGGCATTCGCAAAAACTCGAATAACCCAAATGGAGTAATTATAGCCGTTTTAGATATATCTTCTGCCGCTACGGGAATATGGTAATAAGCTCGAACGAGACCGATTTTCGACAATCGGTGTGTTCGTTTGAATTTACATGGTGATCCACAGTTTCGAGCTTTATCGCCGAAAGTTTGATGGTACCAACATATTGTAGGAGCTGAGCGTCTCCTAGAACGTGATCGACTTCTTTCCCTTGATCTACTTCGTGACCATCCTCTTTGCGTATCGCTCTGATTTAGTTTCGTCAGCTTGCGGCACAAAACATTAATCTCCTTTTGTAATGCATCGATTCGTCCATCTACTGTGGTACTATGCCTTTGCGGACTCGTTTGTTTCATTCTCTCATAAATCCTATCGGCTATTTTAGCGATGTTGTCCATATCGACATCGCTGTCCTCAACCGCAAGGATCTGCTGCACGTTCGCTGGAAGTCGTCGTAACCACAACTGATAAAATATGTTCTTATCTACTTTTCTGTCATCGATTATGCTTCTCATGTAGTTTTTTAGTTGAGATGGAGTCTTATCTCCTATCTGCACTTGACTGAGAAGTTGTTCGATGGCTTGCCGGTCGCTTAATGAGACGGCTTTAATCACTGCCTGTTTTAATGCGTCGTATGGCTTTTCTATGTCTGGTTTGATTAAAATCTCTCGTACATTATCTGCTACTTCATCTGGAAGTAGCGAGCTCGCGTGGCCAAATTTATCTCGCTGTGTATGAACACGATTAGCTACAAAGTAATGTTCAAGTCTGATAAACCAAAGTTGAGGATCTGTGACCTTAAAAGGAGGAATAGTTACATTAATGGACCTCACGGACGGCGTTTGGGAAATTTCTATTGTATCGTTACTTAAAGACATATTTATAAAGATCAGAAAGTACACGAATATAATGCGAATGTCACAGAGAAAAGTGAGTCGATAAAAACAATGATAAAAACAAATGGTACAATTTATAACAAAGAACGGACTTACTAAATTGCACCAAAATATCAATTGTTTGTAAAAATATCGTTGCTTATTATGAATATTATCGTTATGTTCTATAATGTTTGTGAGATAATGTACGTATAATTAAAATAATGAGATAATAAATCCACAGTTATAATTATAATCCAAATGAAGTTACAATTGTTATCGAGTACGTTGGATTTTAGGAATTGGATTATGTCGTTCAAGATTGTTTCGTGTTCGCGCGTCGGGATCGCCAATTATGTGGTGGTCGGTATTCGATATATCCCTTAAACTTCGTATACAATTCGTCTTGATAACCGTCCTATTTAACCCCAACGGTATATTATTCAGAAGGCGAATACGAAGCGTTGATTACGTTTATTTCGAGACCACACACACAAATGTCCAAAATTACCGATGCATTAAACGAGCATTAAGAGTTGTGTCGAACGGTAAACTGGCAAGCGAGCGACTGAGCGAATGTAAGTAATCGAGTACAATCAAGCGAGCGAGAAAGCAGAGTCAGCCATATGAATAACGTGGATATATATAGCATGTGAAATTAATGAGCAATCGAATCAGATAAGCGGTTAGTAGTGAGACTAGCAGAGTGACATAAATGCGTAGGCCGTAAGCAATATTCAAGCATGCGTATTTCATACAAGCACAAAATAATAATAAGGGTACAATAAATTGTTATAGTGCGGATGGCTTTGTCCGCTAAATAAGTTAGCAAAAGGGCTTTACTGAGTTACATGAGAATAAACCCATTTGCACGTGAGTCGCTATAACTGTGAAGCTGGGTGATACGAGATCGAATCCGCCAGGGAGCACCGGTTCCCTCAAGATTACAGGTACACCTTGCTGGCGAGTGCCAAGTAGCACGAAACCCGGGTCCAGGATTTCCTGTCGACTTCCTCCAACCACCATCTAGATTGTGACATTAAATTTCGTATTATTTAACATCATAAGTTGTCTAACATCTTTCCACAACCTTCCGTATGTCTAGAAGGTTGTACGACGAGAAAATGGTCAAGCATTCCGTAGAATGTCCCAAACGCTTGTGTTCGTATATAAATTAAAGGATAAAAAGAAGAGGAAATATTCCTGCATTATGGGAGAGATCACTGCTTCATCATTGGTGTAGGACGAATTTGGTAAGGCTCAAGTATTCTCAAACTACGTTAGCAACGTATATACCATAGAATCACCCTTCCCGTTAGTCCATACAAATCCTTCCTCACAGACCCTGGTCAGTGTGACCATTAAAGTACTCGATGTCCTTGGTCTGCTAAATAAGCTTGACATAGGCAAATCCACGGGCCTGATGAACTGAATCCTAGCTTACTTAAGAAATTAGTTAACTTCGTTGCGAACCCTTTAAGTATATGCTTTAATCTACTCGTAACCCATAGTCGTTTATCAAAAGACTGGATGAATTCCACAGTAAGTTCTGTCTTCAAAACAGGTACGAAACATAAACCTGAGAACTACCGACCCGTTAACCTAACTAGTGTGGTTGTTAAAATCTTAGGAAATATTATTCGGAAGAAGCTATTTAAGTACCTCGATGAAAACCGGATCCTTTCGGAGAAGCAGCATGGTTTTAGAATAGGTTACTCCTGTCGCTCGTGAAAGCTGGTGCGCTCTTAAGGACCAAAAGTTACCTGTAGACGTAGCTTTTGACGAAGTTTCCCACAACCGGCTGTTATTTAAGTTAAAAAATGCCGGGGTTGGATGCAATATATTGGTGTGGATCAGACTTCCCAGTTGTGCGCCAACAAAAGTACGGGTGAACTCAAAGCCGTCTAGCGGGGAAACTGTACTTGGTGCTCTAGCGTATAGCTTTCGGGTCAGTGTTATTCCTCTTGTATGTAAATGACCTACTATCATCATCGGTTTCGCTATATACTGACGATTTCAAGATATGGAGAGCGATAGGAAGTAAGGGTGATAGCTTAGAACTCCAAAACGACCTGGAGAAATTATCTGAATAGTCTCAAACCTGACAGTTGCCGATAAATACTTCCAAGTGTATTGTGATGGATATCGGTGATCAAGGTGCAGATACATACACGATGAATAACATTGAGCTACCTGTTGTCGAGACACACACTGACTTAGGAGTCATCGTTAGCCAAGACTTAAAGACTACCGCACGCTGTCGTGCAATAGTCACCAAAGGTTTTAGAACTTTACGTAGGGCCTTTAGTCATGTCGACGCTAAAACGTTTTTGACTTTGTATACCGTGTTTGTGAGTCCTAACCTTGACTACTGCAAACAAGCAGCTGCCTTCTGTTTAAAAAAGGACAGTGAGCTTTTGGAAAAGGTTCAGAGAACAGCAACTACGCTGATTCCCGAAGCTCACGTATGATGCTCGACTGGCCAAGCTAAACATATTCCCGTTGTCATATCGAAGAACTAGAGGCGACTTGATTACAGATTTCAAATTGCCTAGTGATAGATTTTCATTTGATATGCCCTCATTTTTCTTACCTTCCAAAGCAGAGAATTTACGAGGACACTAAAAAAGTTCACAGGCCCAGGACAAATTACTTGTCAGCTGAATATCGACGTTCCCATCGAATCATCGACGAGTGGAATTCACTACCTCAGCACGTGGTTGAGGCTCCATTCGTCGACTCTTTCAAAAGAAAGTTGGATCAACTAAGAGACAACCATTGCCAGGACTAACACAGGCCATCAAGTCTCCTGCCCTTTCTAAACTGAAACTGGAATCAATGGTGAATAATATATCTGTAACGTTTCCATTAAAAACAACCAAACGAAATAACAATAAGATTGAAAAAAACAATAAGTGAAGCACTTCTTTCGGCCTAAAAACAATTTATGTCTTTTCTGTACACATGATTAAGAACAGGTGTCACAGATTATGAGTGGGAAGATCAAACGTCTGGGTTGCTTTTCAGTTTTGCGTACCAATATCTTCCATTTCTGGAATTAAGATCACCAACGATATTTTGTAATGGATTAGCTTAATGACACGTGTAGTTTTGTTCATATCATATTTTTATGAGAAGCTAGAGTAAAAACGCTATTTGTAAATGGGAGTTCCTTTTTAAGTCCGTAATGCTAAAAAGCTGTGGGACCGTTGATAAAGTAGACCAGGAAGAATGTGAAAAGGAAGGAAGTGGCACCGTGGAAAACTTTGAAAATAAAGCAGAGGAATCGTTTGTCGGTACTAGTCCTATAAGTGCCCATAACTCAGTGAGCTACAATCCTCCAAAAAACGGTTTGATCGCTTCTGCATTAGAAATACCTAACTCTGTGTGCCTGTCATTTGAACATGTAGATCCTCTGCTCCAAAGCACTTCCCCTCCTTGTTCGATCAAAAATACAATTCCTCAAGATGAGAAACATGCAGGGTTATTCACAAATATCAAAAATGACTTATCCACTGATCATGGATTAGAATTTAATAAAAGTGAAAACCAGGAGCAATGTGACAAACTGATGGATTTACCAAATGGTTCCAAGCAATACAATGAAGTTCTTATTGATGGATTTGCTATTTTATCTTTTAAAACAATGGATGATATGCTGGTAAGCTTCATTTCGTGAACCATCTTACTTGCTATGTAGTTATTTTATTCAGAGTGTAATCACAGATACCTTTACAATTTTGTTAAGTTGCCCCTGATGATTCCTAAGTTTACAGAATTTTATGTTCATTTTAAACTTTCGAGTGCAGGGTTGTATCTGATTTCATTTACAAGGGTTATATTTCGTAAGAAAGTGATTGGTTAGCTTCTATGAAGCTCAGTAATAACGAAAAAAAGTGGTACATCGGTTTAGTAAGAACTGGTTTCGTTCTTAAATTTATATCTGAAAAACGAAACTACAATACATACATATGCACTCACCATGTTTCCGTTTAAGGTAGAGTTATGTGGTTTGTTTGATGTATTTTCTCCTCACTGGTTCGAAAAACTATAAAAATTATCAGTATGCGTAGTCTTCGTTTCTTAATATGCAGAATTCCATTGGGATTTGGAAAGTGTGTACAGTGATGGGTTTTGTATTCCCATTTCCGTGATTTCAATTTTCTCCATTTTTTTCCATACACGTGGATCACTTTAAACAATTACATAGCGCATAGCTTTATGCAATTCAGATGGTATAATTTTGAGAGGTTTAAGATATTTCAGCGAGAAAACTTTCTAGACGGTATCGTTTTCTTAGGTTGTATATTCGTGTTTATAGGTAATTTCTACGTATAGTAGTTTGTAGTGAAATACAAGGGCTTTACAAAATTATTAAAGATGGTCAAACTTATTCGAGTAGAAGTCAATAGAAATGAAGTGGTGTTGCATAATATAGTAAATATTATCAAAAATTTCATGTACTGGGTATGATCATTTACAAATGGAGGTGTGTTACTTCAATGCAATTAAATTTTTCAAGTATTGAGTAAGAAGGGTTGCATCATTTTTTATGGTTAGCGTTTTTTTAGCGCGCTAGTTTTCTACGGGATGGGGTCGCTAACTCCATGCTCAATCCTCCTCTTTTGTCCGGGCTTGGGACCGGCAATAGCCCCGGAGGGGCTCCAAGTGGAGTTTTGCATCATTTTGCAGTAATAAAAAAATCACCAAGAGCCTACTTTGTGTAATAGTTTCGAAAGCTGTAAGAAGCAATGCATACAACAAAACCTAAATATAACCGTTTGATTTATAAAGAAGGTGGAATTCAAAGGTATGTTAAGACCATGGTAGAATAAAGGACTGAACGTAACTCTTCTGTACACATAGCTTAGATTTGAGATGGTGGATTGCCATAGCCTTGGCTCTGTGTGAATTCCCCATCCAAATCCTTTCTGCATCAATTATTTTTATTTTGCGAGTGATTTTGAACGAAGATTAATGCAGTGGGGTGTGGCCAGAACTGACCATATGTTCAAGAACTGTGCTGTCGATCGATTTGTATGTTATAGTTTGGTTTGATAAACCCGCTATTAAGACTTGGTCTCTTGGGTGTTATGGTAACTAACACTATCCCTCCAATTTCTCGCCACAGAAAGCAAACTAGTTTAGTGTATTTATCACCTCACTTGATATATTAATTAAAACTTAATGAGCAGTTTTTTATTTGCCTTGGTCGGTGTTTGATCTGGTTTATAAGGTAGGATTAAAATTTTACTAGAATCAAAGATTTTATTATGGTTTCTTAAACCATAAAATCCATGTACTTTCATCTGACTATTACTTGAAGTAAACCAAACGTTGAAAAAAGTACACAGAACTTATAATTAGTTGGGTTTATGACAGTCACTTATTCACCATCAATCCAAAGAGTTCTAAGACGTATATTCGTTAACCGCTTTTGTCTTAGGAGCATTATGTGGAATAGTATTTAACTTCATCAGTCAGGTAGTTTTATGGTGTTTGTACGTACAGTTTGAATCATTATGGAATGTTCTGGAGCATGACAGCTCATAAGTAACTCACATGGGACGAATACAATTCGATGTGTTTTTCATGGATGTCTGTCACAATTATGTTCATTAATTTTCGACACGGTCATTTCCAATCGTAATGTCATGCCTTACTCATTAGGAGTTGGTCTTTCTATTAGTCCAGAGTACTCAGAAACATCTGCTATTTAAAGACTTAAGATGATGTTTTAAGTATCATATACGAAAGTATGAAAGTTCATTACATTTGTCGCACCAGCGCTTTATCACTGTGGGACTTTCTTTTTAATGTTAACAGGAACTGAATTAGCCTCACAGAACAATCGTTTAGCAAAACATTCAAGTGCACATTAAATAATAGGTGTCCTGTGAGATGGAGCTAGAAGTTTTATAAAAGTCTTGTAACCCAAAAAGACATCTGAATTTCGTCATTGTTGAAAAGCTACTATGATAAAAAGTGAATTAGTAAAAATAAAATATTCTGACGATAACTGAGTATTGTGTTTAGAATTTCACTTTTTGTTCTGTAAATGCTAAGTACGTTGTGCTTCAATTGACTTACTATCTAATCCATTTCGAATTCATTTCGTTAAATTTTAAGGGTGGATAAATTCACGAAATTAGCCGATACTTACTGAAATACGGGTAGTTTAGTCCTAATATGAGAAAATTATAACATTACTCTTTTAGTGTTCATGTACACAGGTATCAATATTCATTTTCATAGTAGTTGGGGGGTAAGGGGTTTGGCTTTTAACTCGTGGTGTATTTGTGTAGGTTGTTCTAGTTGTCATATCCTATAACAATTTCACAAAAGCAATACTTGAACAACAGTTACACAGAGCTACTACTCTTGCACATCAAAAGAGGTGTATGAAGATGAAGATGCTGATTAAACGAACTATTTTATGCTATAGGTAATTTTTAGTGGATGTTGAATAGTCAGTGCGAATCTGTATCTCGGAATTTATTTGCGTAATTACCCTCATATTCTGTTAGTTTGGGGTTTTCCGTGCGATCGAATGCAACGTTCGATGATTTGATAAACTTTCGATACTTCCTAGTCTATCTAACCTGATTCATTCATTAGAAGTTGCTATACTTATTTAAAATATATCTCAACACTATAAATTAAGGATTCATCAATTGATAGGGCGATATAACTTGTTTTTTTATTAGGAACAAAACCTTGATTCAAAGAGCGCGTCATAAAATGTGTTTTGAAGAAACGAACAAAAAGGTTGGATACCATAGTTAAAAATATCAGGAAACGCATCCATTTTCCACTATGCATGCAGTGTCACAAGCTACTGGGTTTTGTTTTGTTTCTCCATCTATGGGAATATTTTAGTACGTTTTCTGAACTGTTGCGCTTGATTATTTTAATGATTCAGTGGGTTAGGAATTACGAGTCGTCTCAGGAGATCGGTTGTTATACATAAGTGAGGTTTATTCATTCTTTGTGTTGAAGTCCAACCTTGATCGAAGCAAGACAAGTATTTTTTCATAAATATCGACATTTCATCATATTTGTGTGCCTGAGAAGTTGATTAACATCCTAAAGGCCCTATATACAAACACCTCAGGCAGAGTGAGGGCATACAACCACCTCTCTCCATTGTTCCATTCGAGCAGTGGGGTTAGACAGGGTTGCCCAATCTCACCATTTCTCTACAACTTTGCCATTCTGGAAACAGCTCTGATGGATGTAAGTAATGGCGGTGTGGATCTGCTGCCCAGAGAAAGACTTCTTGACCTTGAGTATGCGGATGATATTGTCTTACTGTGCGATAATGCCAAAGCCATGCAGTCCGCACTTAATCAGCTGGCAGTCAGTGTCCGTAGGTATGGCATGTGATTTGCACCTTCGAAGTGCAAAGTACTTCTACAAGACTGGCAGGATTCTAATCCTGTACTCACCCTGGGTGGTGAGCAGATAGAAGTAGTCGAGAAGTTCATGTATCTAGGTAGCTGCATCAGTGCTGGTAGTGGTGTGAGTGATGAGATCAATGCACGTATAGTAAAAGCCAGAGCGGCTTATGCCGATCTGGGCCATGTTTGGCACCTTCGTGATGTCAGTCTGGTTGTAAAAGGTCGCATCAACAACGCGTCGGTGAGAGCAGTTTTGCTCTATGCTTGTGAAACCTGGCCTCTCCGAGTTGAGGATGTTAGACGACTCTCTGTGTTTGATCATCGTTGTCTCCGAAGGATTGCTGACATTCAGTGGCAACACTATGTTTTATTTATTTGAACACATACATATTGGTACAATAGTGCGCTACACAAAATAATGAGAATTTAAAGAGAAGGAAAAAAAAGGTAAGGAGGGTAAAAAAAGAACAATAAGGAAGAGATTGGTGTAAGGTAGTGTAATAATAATAGTGGTAATAATGGGGGAACGGAAAGGTACAATCAGAAGAAATCTTTCAGTTAAGGAAGATGCAACCATTTTTTTATGAAGAAAGTAAAAGAAGCTTGCAGCAGGATCGCCACTGGCTTCGGTTCTGAGCCATATCTGATAACGTCTCTAACCACTGTGTTGCACCATCTCTAGGACCCCAACCAGGGAGTCGTGAAGGACCAACACAAGCCAGTCCTTTACAGCTTTCTTTCATGCCACGACACCATGTCATACACTGACCACCTCTCCGCTTCTTCCAACCAGTCCCAGAGTCGGCAAATAATGAACGGTGTGGAATTCTCTGGGACGACATTCGTAGAACATGTCCAAGCCATCGAAGTCGGTGTTTCAAGATGGTGACATCGATTGCATTATCATCTCTGTGCCCGAACACACGATGCCGAACCTCTGCATTACTGACATGGTGTTGCCACTGAATGTCAGCAATCCTTCGGAGACAACGATGATCAAACACAGAGAGTCGTCTAACATCCTCAACTCGGAGAGGCCAGGTTTCACAAGCATAGAGCAAAACTGCTCTCACCGACGCGTTGTTGATGCGACCTTTTACAACCAGACTGACATCACGAAGGTGCCAAACATGGCCCAGATCGGCATAAGCCGCTCTGGCTTTTACTATACGTGCATTGATCTCATCACTCACACCACTACCAGCACTGATGCAGCTACCTAGATACATGAACTTCTCGACTACTTCTATCTGCTCACCAC